TCTCATCAACAGATCAAATGAAAAGGCATGGATGGAGTCCTTTATAACAAACAAAAAAAAAAACTCTGAAGGAGTGGCAGCCAGCTGATGTTGGGTACTACAACCTCATATTCTTCCACTATCTGCCCCTTCTGTCCTACTGTCATCTGTTTTAAATTAAAGATTAACTTTTGGGTTAAAACTACTTCTTTGCCAAATCTGGATATGTTGCTGTAGTTTTTAGGGAATGTCTCCTTTTCACTTTGTACCTGGAATTAATGGCCTCTTTAATTCTCCTTCCTTCAATAAACAATCTCTTAAAAGCACCTCAACTGCTCTTACAGCTAGCTTGGACATCAATCAGAAACACATGCTTGTCCAAAGCACAACCTTAATTTAGAAAGAATGCACAACTCTAAGTATCCCATGGAACACCATCTTCTTTTAAGATGTCTGAAGTTCTTGGAGCAGTAAAATCTCTATTAAAAGCAAAATTTCTCATCAGTTTAAGCAGTGAGAGAACATAAACTAAAGCCTCCTAAATGGCAACCTATTCTTCTCAAGGCAGTGTGGCATGTGAAGAGAAGAGCAGGCTTCTGCTCCTGTCTCCACTACTGTCCTGCTGGGTGTCCTTGGGGAAACTGGTGCACAAATAAGTGCTTTTCCTACTTGTAAAATGGTGATAATGATACTGACCTTCTTTGTAAAAAGCTTTAAAAACTAGGGATGAAAAGCATTATATAAGAAGTAAGTATTATTATCGTTGCTCCTAGCAACTAACAGCCTGCTTCCTGACAACCATAAGAGCAATTCTCAAGTGCCAATAATGCCAGCCCTAATTCCCTTCTCCCTGTTTTTACTCATGAAACTCTAGCTTTCACCTCTTCTTCCAGTAGTAAGTGCCAGATATATACTTATGCGGTACAGTGTCTGGGATGGTCCTTCTACCTCTTGATGCTGGAAGGGAGGGAGGGCTGCAAGGACCGTGGACTGTGTTTTTAAAATAATTTGTTTGCTTGTTTTGATTCTGTACTGCTCCAAAAATATCTTTGCACTACTCTAAAAGATAATAAACTGTTGCTAATGTGGTCTAAATGTCTGTCAGTAACTCAAAAAGTAAATTGAAGGTCAGAACTACAAACAGTAAATAGTGTTATAATCAAATTACTTCCACCAAAAAAAAAAAATCAAAATCTGTTTGTGCAGGCTTCCTTTGTATAGCTTGTCATTCCCCTGTGAGAAGTGAAGGAAGAAATGCTTGGCACACTGACTGTAAAAGGAAATGCTTTTTAAAATTATAGAGTTCATTCCAAACTTGATGAAGGTATATTAATATGTGTTGTGACAGAAGCTGTGTCAAGTTCCATAGTAAAATGAGCAAAATCAGGAATATGCTCATATTTTAAATCACGGAACTGCAATGAACATATATTTCTTGCTAAACACTGCACACTAGCAAGAGGAGTAAAACCACTGAAGTTGTGACAAGACACTATCACTTCTTGGGCTTTTAGCGGTGATCTGAAATTTTTTAAAAGGTATTCTAATGAATTTTTCTGGAGTGGGTGAAGGTGTTGCAGAGTGCTTTGCTTTGAATGGGGATGGCAGGGGGTGGGGGATAAAAGCAAAGAATGTTCCTGGATCTCCTCTCTTTCAGGGTGCCCTGTGACAGCCAGTGGGCTGATTACACATTCACTTTCTTTGCAGAAATAACATCAACATGATTTCTTTGGAAGGCAAGAGGAATGATATTCACAGCCCTCTTTCTGCATTTCTCTTTATGTGAGGTCTTAACAAAAATGCAAAATCACAAATTTGGAAGTGTTTTTTGAGTAAAGTTCAGGCCAGATCCCTTCAAGTTTGAATTATGATTCATGACCTGGAGTTGAACTGAAGTGTAAAATACACCTTCTAAGAGCAGGCTACTCTAAAATCAGATTATTTTATGTATTTTGGTGTGAAAACAGATTAATGTCTCTTGTATTCTGCCATGAGTTTATTCTCTCTGATGAGCACAGTTTGAGTAGAAATGGCATTTACTGTCTATTGGCTAACCCTACAAATAATAGATTCACTTTTATATATGTGTATATATTATACACCTACACATATAGATATACACAGACAGTCATGTATACGAAGAAACATCCATGTTACATTCTCTGAATCCATTTCTTCTCCATACGTCTTCCAACAGCAGAGGCAAAAATGTTTGACTTCCCCATTCTTCTTTCTCTCTCTCTTTCTCTCTCTTTCTTTCTTTCTCTCTTTCTCTCTTTCTCTCTCTCCTTCCTTCCTTCCTTCCTTCCTTCCTTCCTTCCTTCCTTCCTTCCTTCCTTCCTTCCTTCCTTCCTTCCTTCCTTCCTTCCTTCCTTCCTTCCTTCCTTCCCTTTTCTTCCTTCTTTTCTGTCTTTCTTCCTTGAACTAGAGTTCATCAACAAATTATATTCTAAAGCTTTAATAATGTAATAATTCTCCAATATGCAATGACCCAAATGCTTGTCTGTTCTTTCTGTCTGCTTAGGACAAGTGAGGAGTAAACTGTTCAATGTGACTTTAAAATACAAGTTTAATTGTGAATTACACCATTAGCTTTTGAAACAACTTCAGTAGAAAAGATTGTGTTAATGCCTTATGCACCAATGCATAAGAAAACTACTGAATATAGTACTAAAGACAGGTTTTAAATATATTTTATATGTGACTATTCTATTCTGAAAACAGCCATAGCATGTAACAATTAGAAATTTTAAGCGTGTTTATGTATGGTGATAGTTACTGTTAGGTTGCTTAACCTGACATAATGAGGAGTTTGTCTATATATTTTGCTGGAAGGTGTAACCCTCTGTGGAAAATCATCAAATCATCTCCACCATTTTTTTTTTTTTTTTTTTTTAATACATTTCACTGGTAAGGGAGTTTATCAGGATATTTTCAGAACTTGAAGAGGATGTTACAAAATTCAAAGTGAAAAGAAAACATCTACAAAACAAGACCTTCATTGCATGTTCATCTTTTTACATCTTTCAAGATGAAAAAAATAGTTTTTTTTTTTTTTTTTTTTTTTTTCTTGAAACATTCTTTCAATTGGACTCATACTGTTGAATATGGCTGTCACTCTGGTTCTGCTTTACATCATGTAATCAAGAAGGCCAATAAATAAAATAAAATAAAATAAAATAAAATAAAATAAAATAAAATAAAATAAAATACTCAGTGGATGTAAACAGATAAAAATGGTACATAGCAAAATGGAAATATTACAGTACTTTCCACTGTGAATTCAAATGCCTCTTTTGTGACATGCTGAGTATTTACTATGTTGTTTCAGATGTAAGAGGAAGAGAAGATCCATTAAAAAAAAAAAAAAAAAAGCATAGAAGAAAAAATAGTTTTTGCAGCACATTTGAATAAGCCAAGACCACATAACGACCAGTTAGGCACATCAAGTGATAAACTAGCCAGTGAGTCTTAGTCATTTTAAGAATGCTTTAAATTTTTAGTAATTTTGAGAAATGGCTTGTTTTGCTACATCAACTATGAAATTTTGTCAGCTGTAGATCTATGTAAGTCATACGTTAAACATATAATGCTTTAAGTGGTACAGGGTTCTTGTGCTCACTCCTGAAATAATGGGAAAACATTGGAAAGTACAAGTATTATTCCATTGCTGAAAACAAAGGCTAAAAAATCTCTCTCTTTGCAAGGAAATTCAGGAATGAGAGAAGGAGGTGCTAGGTTTTATTGTTGTTGTTGTTTGTTTGTTTGTTTGTTTTTTTAATAGAATCATAGAATCATAGAAACACAAGGTTGGAAAGGATCTAAAGGACCTACAAGATCATCTAGTCCAACCATCCATGATCTTAGGTAATTTGTGCTTTTCTCAAAGTACCACAGTAGAACAACAAAATAATGACATTGTGGACGTGCCTCTACAAGTGGCATTTTTAATTCTCAATCATAGAATTATAGAATATTCTGAGTTGGAAGGAATCCACAGGAATCATTGTGTTCAACTCTTTGCTTCACATATCATCACCCAAAAAAACAAACCATATATCTGAGAGCTTCTTTATATATGTCCAAATGCTTCTTTAACTCTGGTAGGCTTGGTTCCTTGACTACTTCCCACTTCCCTAGGCAACCTGTTCCAGAGCTCAACCACCTTCTCAGTGAAGAACCTTTTCCTAACATCCAGCCTGAACCTCCCCCGTCATAGCTCTATACCATTTCTTGAGGTCCTTTTGCTGTCACCAGCAAACAAAGCTCAGAGCCTGCCCCTCTGCTCCCCTCGTGAGGAAGCTGTAAGTCACCATAAGGTCTACCCTCAGCCTCCTCTTTAGGCTGAACAAACCAAGCAACTTCAGCCACTTAATATATCTTGCCCTCTAGACCCTTCATCATTTTAATAGACCTCTTTTGGGTACTCCCTAATTTTATGTCCTTTTTATACTGTGGTTCCCAGAACTGCACACAGTTCTCAAGGTGACGCTGCACCGACGCAGAGCTGGTGCATCTGGGGAGAGATTCATTTTTGTTTTCCTCTCTCCTGACATTCTACCTCACTATGTAATATTCACATTTCTGATGAAAACTTACAAAATTACTAATAGATTTCTGTTTAATCCAATCTACTGTATCACTGTAATCACTGGAGTTGAAGTTTGAGTTTACAACTTCTTTAAATCAAGGAAGTATTTCCTAAATTCTTGTTTTGATTTGATTTTTTTTCTAGTCATTTCTCTTTAGGGAAATCGTTGCTTTATTATACACCATCATCCTTCAATCCTATGTTAAGGCAGTGCTTTAAATTTATTTAAATAACACTGATAGACTAACGCATTTCTGTGTACCTCTTTGCCAGCAACATTAAACATATATTCTAAAGTCTTTTTTTTTTTTTCATCTCCAAAAGACACAAAAAAGACAAAAGACACACACACAAAAAAAAATAAAATGCATTATTATATCATCAAGCTTTAAACTGTCTTGTTACTACATCACATCCATGTACATGGCTGCCACACAGCTTAAGGTTATTTTGACTTTTTTTTTTTTTGTCATTAACATTATGTGCATTCAACTTAGCACTGCAGACTTGACATGCAGCTCACAATGAGCCATCCAAGTGCTAGCTTGGATCCCCTTGTCCCTATGATCTTAGCCACCATAATGTGCTATGCACATTATGCATCCTGTATTCTTAATTTCTTTGATTATTTTTCATATTTTTTTAACATAAACTTCACAACTCTCAGTTTGATCACAGGTGATCCAGATAAATTCCTCCTATCCTCCTAAAGAAAAATGTAAAGAAAATTCCTCCTATCCTCCTAAAGAAAAATGTTCATAACATGAAAGCTGAGACAGGAAATAGATTTGAAACATAAATGCCTACTAGATTACTGTAATTAACATTTTAAAATATATGCAAATGCAAATACTTCATTAAAGGAAAAGAACACTATTAAATTTAATAAAATATTAGATTTTGTTTTTATTGCATGGCTTGCTTTGATTTAGAAAGAAGCTATTAATGGCAGAAGTCTGATTTGCCTAATTGCCTCAAAACCCCCAAATAATTTTGGAATACAATAGACTTCCTCTGAGTATTGATGTTTGGTTAATTATTCAAAAATTTTAAAAGATTTCTTTTAAAATGGTTTTCATTTCTACCAGAATAAACCTTCATGGTTCCTTAAATCCTCAAGTCTATATCAGCTAAATCCAGTCATGGATCACCCATTCAAACAAGGTAGGTGTGGAGCAGTTTAACAACAACACCATATTCTTATGCCATATAGTAATACACATTACAAGTCAGATGGCATTTATTTATAATCACATTTTCAAAATCATTTCTCTTTTTTTTTTCTTTTTTTTTCTTTTTTTTTCTTTTTTTTTTTTTCTACACTGCATTCCCATTACAGAGCACTCTCTCCATATTGTTCTTTCATGGTACATTTCAAGCACTAATCCATTATAAGAAGATTCATCCAAAAATCAAATATTACACAAAAATTTCCTATTGTTCAGAAAGATTGGACAACTTGTGATTAACAAAGTACATAAGTAAATAGTATTTTTATAAATACTAATTTATTTAATAAAAATACAAAAATATAAATATACATATATAAAAATATCATGATGAGTCAACACACAGACATTCTTTAACTCAATAAATATGGCAGTAATATTAATCTTTTCTGAAGTATAATTTTGAGATTATATTACAATGTGAGTGCACAATGTCCCAGATAGTCAGAAATGTAAAGCAAAGCACTTAAAATAATAATTAAAAAAAAAAAATCGATCTTATTATTAAAGGCACAAAAAGCCTTTTATTGTGTTTTCATTGTAAATGAAAACCTTTCCTCAGAGGTTTCTAGGCAGAAAGGGTGAATTATAGATTTTTTAAAAAATCTAAATCACTCATATTCATGTATGTTGACTTACTAATTAAGCAAACCCTTACTAAGACAACACCTATTTTTTGTAAAAAAAAAAAAAAAAAAATCCCAAGTAAGAGAGAGTAGGCCACTTTATCTAGTAACATAGACATGAATTTCACTAACACTTAGGTCACAGATTACTTTCTCAGTCTCAGTCACTGTCCTCTCCACCATACATGTCTGCTAGTTTTTTAAACCGAGGTCCCCAGTCACTGAGGTAATCATAGTCTTGGTTGCCATCTGTGGTAAGTGATTCCAGGCTGCTGAGTGAATTTGCTATAGAATCATTTCCTTCATAAGCGTATGTTGCTAGTGAATCATAAGGAGGAGCAGCTGGATCTGAATCATTTTCCTTTAACCTTCGATGAATAAAATCTTGCACATCAATGTTTTCCCAAAGAGGCGTAGTCCGTCTTATCTGAAATATAGTTTCTGGGATGACATCTCTTCTCATCTTACTTTCCTCCCTTGCTTCTGGATTTCTGAGTGTGCCAATGTCAAAAGCTTGGGTGTCTTCTTCCCCACCCCCTTCATCATTGTAGGTCACAATGTTGTCCCGAACATCATCCTTTGAGATGATCAAAGGTTCTTTCTTCCTCTGTCTCTTGAGGGCTGCAAACAAGACAACTAACACTGAAAAGAAACAAAGGAGGATAGAAGAAATGCAGAGTTAGAAATGAAATAAATGAGCTATATTTTGCATTGTCTGTTGTTCTTAGAATGCTTCAAGACTGGTATTTTTAGTAAATAAGTACAAAAGACATCTATCTCTAAGTTGAAATTAATAAGAAAAACTATTAATGTTTTATAGCAGCCAAAAATATTTGCTTTTTTAAACTTACGGAAGCAATGACTAAAATATTCTATGTTTGATAAAGATATAAATGTTATTACTACGCTGGAATTGAGAAGCAGAGAATGTCTTAAAATGTGTCATCCTACAAGTATTTGACTTCAATTTTACTTTTGTGAAGTATTGCCTTCCTGGCAGTCACTAAGGGTAATTTTATCAAAAGTAGCTGAGTCTCCTAAGCAAAAGTAATTCACCCTCTTGAAAGCTGGTGATTTAGGTATTCCTAAGAGTCTAATTCACTATTGAAAATGGAATCTACAGGTTCTTCTGAAAATAAGAACCTGAAAACCTTCAGCTATCAATATTATTGACAAAACCGTTTTTGGCTTCAGTGACTGCAGGAATTGAAATCCAGTCTCTGTTACTAACTGTTTCTTCTTAAAAGCATGATCCCCCTAGTTTAAGAAATTATAGTTGAATAACTCTTCCTTTTGGAGAGGTAAAGATTGACACTAAGCTGGACCTTTACAGAAGGAGATGAAAAACTAAAGTTAAGCTTTGCAAATACATTCTGCTGCTTAAACGCTATTGATTTCAGTAGAAATTCAATGCTTAAATGCATTTAAAAATTTGACCCTTGCTCCAGTATCTGGAGTAAATAGGAGAGGCCAACAAGATCATCTGTCAATGAGGCATAACGCTGGATGCCAAGCCACACTTAAAGGCATTAGAGCAGTGTTGAGCACTTGTGTTGAGCCTTAGGAGCAGTTTTTTATTTCAAATGATTTGAGTTCTGGTGAATAAAAAGAATGGACATAGTGAGGGTAGAGAGGGGAACAAAGATCTTCTACGTGTCCTGGTACAATGCTGTGAAGGTAAAGGCTGTTCTGTTTGTGATTTTGTATGTGTACAAGAGCCATTCTTTTCAAGTTTTTCTAGTGCTAGACAAATAATAGTCCACTTGTAAATTTAGTAACTTCATATGAAAGAGAAGGGCAGCTGTGAGGGCAGATCACTAAAATGTTATTATGAAGAAATGTCTTTCACAGCTGGGTACTTAATGTCTCTCTGCTGTTCTGGACATGGTGACGCTGGTATACTCTCCTAGAATATATCTTGCTGAACAGCAATTAAAGAAAACACCAAGAACCACACAAATTTTAAACTAAAAATTTTGTTTAGCCACATTTCACTTACGTTACTCTGGCTTCAGCTATATGTTTAAGTAGAGCAGGATCTTTGACCCTGGGGCCAAAGTATGGGGCCAAAGACACAAAGTATTCACACTTGCTCTGCACAGCACTGCTCCATGAGGCTGTTCTGAGTCTCATGTGGTATTCATATGGTCCTAAGGAAAAATTATGATTTTTTTGTTTGTTTTTAGTTGAATGTTACTTTACTAAAGCACTGCAGCCCATCAGACTGATGTTTTCATAGTGAGAGAGCAAGAGTATGTGTTTCATTTGAAACAAACAGAGTATTTCATACTCTGTGTTTTGGCATGGGAAGAGGCTTTGAAGATTCAGAGCCCACTGACAAGAGCTGTGCAAAGTGGACAGCCAGATCTGGCAGAGTTCGAATCATACTGCCTCCTGGGAGTGGTGGCCTGCAAGTTGTCCTGTTCACACTATGCTTGGGCAATGTCCTGGGGAACCAAAGCTGGCTTAGGCTGAAACCAGGACAGTCGTGGTGCTCGAACCTCAGCAGTATGGACAATCAGCTTGTCAGGTACTCTCCCTTCCATATAGCCACAGCCCCTGTGGCTCTCTGAATATTTGCTAGAGGTAGCCTGAATCCAGTTGATCTTGTTAGCAATCTATCTGATAGAAAATATATGTTCCTTAGAGTTATATAAACTGTCAGCTGTACAAGTGTCACTTTCCCCTTAGCGAGCTGTGTTGGCCAAGATGGGTGGGAAGAGAAAGAGGTTTATCACAGTTTGACTGGAAAGTGGAGAAGATAGCCCTTTTAAGGAGGAACTTCTCTGGTAAGCAAAACATACAAGTTGCAGATGTTATGGTTATGAGCTGGCATTTACTCTAGTTCCTTCATATTCATTTTCCTAATGTTTCAGCTCTGCAACCACCCATCTAACTTATGTGCTTGAACTTTATTTAAGCATCTGTACTCATTACCACTTGCAAGTGATAGAATGGTTCTCTTCTATTATTTTGAGTATAAAAGTTACAAATCATTCATGATATAATAGTTTTTGTTTGTTTGTTTGTTTGTTTGTTTGTTTTTAAATCATGGAGAAAAATATCACTCAGTTTCAGGAATATGACTTTAAAAGTCCTGGGTTTAAATGAAGATGTGTTTATAATGTAAAACATTAGTATCTAAAATTAAACCTAAATTTTCAAGTTTATTTCACCATTTCACCTAAATAACACTGATAGCCTCCCCTCCCCCCCCTTTTTCTGCACATTCTTATGAATAGAAATGATAACAGCCCACAGTAATCTCTTTCCACTCTCCCACCTCCTCACCCATCTTAGAAAACTGTTCTTACAAAAGAAAAAAAAAATATTGTATTAAGTATGAAATATTACTCTACAGGGTCATGTGAATAAGAGGTGAAGAATGCCAGAGGTCTAGAATCAACAACCCCTTTGCCTCATCAGTCAAACAGCTCATGACAGTTACATACCCAGCAGGATGATGATGCAGAGGAGAATGGCAACCAGTGCCCCTGTGCTGAGGCCAGCAGGGAGGAGCAGGGCCTCTGCATTACAGGACTGCATGTTTCCTCGACTGTCACAGGCACATACACGTATGGTCAGCGTGCTAGTGCTGCTCTGGATTGGGTAGTCATTGTCAAATATTATGACTGGCAAGAGATAGGTACTTGTCTTACTACGGCTATATCCATTTCTTCTAGTCATAATTCCTGCTGTGTTATCTAGAATGGAAATGCAGAATAAATGTTACAGGATGAATCTTTATGTGGTATTGGGGTGGGGGACTGGCACTGGTTAACAGTTACCTTTGTTGTCTACAATGGAGAAGTTTGGATGAACAGCGAATTCTGGCACCAACTCGAAAAAAAATTTGTGTCCTCGAGGAGGCTCGTCTTTGTCAACTGCACTTACAGTCTGTATCAGCTATAAAGAAAACAGCATTTCATGGTATGTTTTTTTGTTGTTGTTGTTGTTTGTTTGCTTGTTTTAGAGATCTTGCTTATTTTACATAAACTCTCTGCTTTACACGTCCAGTGAAAATCTGACAAATCTCTATAAGAAGACAAAAAGTGATGTCCTAAGCCAAACGTTCCCCACATAAACACAGGAGATGTTCCAGTAAACAAATTGTAGTTTTGTTGTTTAAACACATAACAGAAAATGAAAAAAGGGACAGTCTTCACTGCAAGACAGCCGTCTGCTTTGATTTGTACTCAGTACCTTGCAGTGGTACAGAAACAATTGCCCTTCAGAATAAGCCATAAACCTCCTGTGGCCTCATATAGCAATGACACAGAGTAGTGCGTAAACCAGTTGTTAAGTGGGTCTAATTCCCAGTCCACCTCATCTGCTCCTGGCGATAAATTGGAGTACTGCACTGGCAGGATGCTCAGTTCTCCTGAGGTAATAAAGAGAGATGTTTTACTCCCTCCTAAATTGAAACCTCTGTCTGTGGAGCTTTACAGCTGTAAACAAGAGCACTCAAGCCCTGTTGGGAGGGAGTGGAAATAGCCTAAGCACAGGATCAGAGTAAAAAGGACTTAAAAATAGGTCCTCAGCTGTCATTTCTGATAGCATATGCTTTTCTGTTGTATAAAATTATGTATACGTATGTACATATGCATGTATATGTGTATATACACTAGCAATTTGACTTTTTTTTTTTTTCCTATCTAGCTGCTGCTGGAGGCTAGGGAACACAGCTGCAGAACTGGTGAAGGAAAAGCTACCTGGGAAAGTGACTGGTTTTGAAATAACTTGCAGCATTTAGAACCATGTGGGGCTGTGTGAGCAGTAGTAATCCAGTGAGCCATAAGAGTGGCTGCTGTACCCCTGGTACTCCCCAGTGGGTATGGCATTGGTGAGTGACCCATACTCCACCTTGGCTTTTGAGGATATGTTTCATTTCAGAAGATGTCATCAGAAGATGACGAAGCTTGGTGGTGTGAAAATGAGAATATGCTTCATCTGTGTTGCAACTCAGTATGGCTGAGTTTCTACAAGACCTAAATTTAGAGACAGAAGGAGCTTAGCAGTCAGACTTGTTTCTTTTAAAACTGTGAGGGAGCCAATGCCTGCCTCGAGGTTTTCAAGTGTTTCCAGCGTGTAGAGTGTCCTAAAATCCCACAGACATCAAAGCCACTTGTTATCAAAGACTTACTTCATGGCTTGTTTTCCTGATATTTCTAGGAAGAATACAGCATGAGCTCTTCAAGAAATACAGTAATTGACAAATAACACTGATACAATTTTTAAGTCTTATGGCAATCAAGTAAGGAATAGCTTTTTCTCACGTACAGCTCTGAACATCAGCTTGAGTGGGACTTAAGGATACAATGAAATTTTGGGGAGTATTTAACATCTCTCAGGATGGAACACTATTAGACTAATAATTATAGGGCTACTAAAAATACTAATGTGACATTCAGAAACCAGAAATCTGCTGCTGTTAATGCTGTACCATGCAATGATTATTTATCCTATTTTTCTAGATAACCTTGGGGTACTTTTTTTTTTTTTTACATGTAATAGCGTTAAGCTGTTATTTAAAATCAACAATAGTTGAGAAGACCGGTTTGGCTCATTCTCTTTCAAGGTTGTTCTAAAACAACCACAATGGGTGTTTTTTGTTTCTTTGTTTGTTTGCCTTGTGATTTTTTTTGGGTTGGTTGGTTGGTTGGTTTGTTCACTTGATTATTTTGTGTGGGTGGGGGAGGGGGGGGGGTATTATTTTATTTTTATGGTATATTCCTGAATATCCTATCATCAGAAAAGAACTGGAAAAGGAATTTGCAAACATCAGCCTTATATAAGAAGAGCCTATGCTGAAGGCAGAATTACGCAGTTTCTCTATGCATGATTAAAATAATTATTACATATTCAGGTCTCTTCACTTTTAAAATATTTGAAGACCATTACACTTTACTTTAGTTTTTTGGTTTATTTTTAATTTTCACTGTTTCTCAAGATTAGCCAAATCCCAGTTTATGGCAATTCTCTGATTTTTTTAACTTTTCAAAATCCTGTTTTTCTTCTCTTTGTCACAATCTACTTCTGAGAGTGACCATATAGTGTAAGACCAAGATGGTACTTAATTTTAGTTATGGTTTGCTTTAGTGTAAATGTAGCATTAGCACAACAAAACATCCTTCTGATAGAAGTAAAATACTGAATTGAAATGAGAATTTTTCTCTCACATTTTTGCAAGTTTTAAAAGACAGAAGTAAAAGTGCCAGAGAGTAGAGTGAGAATTAGAATATGTGGCTATATTTGTGCAATTACTTGCACAGCCACTTGGAGCCACTTGCCAAGGCAATTGTCTCCGGGGCAAACGTGTTATGCAGTGGAGCGGGAGATCAGAAGGCAGGGCTATTTTTCCGGCATCGAGCCCACTTGAGGGAGCCGCCAGGACCTGGCAGCCCTCACGAGGGAGGTGAACGAGGTGTAGGCAGAGCCAGCAGCGCTCTCTCCCTGGCCGTTCAGAAGTTGCCCCTAAGGAGCGCGAGCGACCATGAGCACGGTGAACAGGGTGGGCAAACAGGGTGTGGCGTGTGCCTGAAGACTGGAGGATAGCCAATGTCACTCTGGTCTTCAAGAAGGGCAAGAAGGAGTAGCCCAGGGAGGTGGTGGAGTCACCATCCCTGGAAGTCTTCAAAAGACGTTTAGATGTAGAGCTTAGGGATATGGTTTAGTGGGGACTGTTCGTGTTAGGTCAGAGGTTGGACTCGGTGATCTTGGAGGTCTCTTCCAACCTAGATAGTTCTGTGCTTCTGTGCTTCTGTGTCAGTAGGGGGTGGTGCGGCAGTTCGCACAGGCAGGGCAAGCAGGAAGGGCAGAGCATTCCCCTCACCCATAGGAACATCTCCTCTAACGGCGGTCTACCGCTAGCTCAGCTGCAATGGTGTACACCAGGCACAGTGCGCTCTCTAGGAAGTCTGTACACACACAGACTGCGTGCCTGCCCGCTCAAAAATGCGGCAGTTCCGGTCTCTGGATGCCTGTTGCTACCACCTGTGGGGGGCAGAGAGACTGTGTGCGTGAGGTGCAAGCAGGTGGATGACCTGGTCCGCCTTGTGGCAGAACTCAAGGAGGAGGTCGAGAGGTTGAGGGATATCAGGGAGTGTGAGTGGGAGATAGACTGGTGGAGCTACTCCCTAGCTTAGGAGAAAAAAGAGGGTTTATAATCTTTGGAAAAGAGGGCGGGCCACTCAGGAGGACTATAAGGTTGTTGCGAGGCACTGCACGGACAAAATTAAAAAGGCCAAAGCTCATCTGGAGCTCTATCTGGCTACTGCCATTAAAGACAACAAAAAATCTTTTTACAAATATATCAACGCAAAACGGAGGACTAAGGAGAATCTCCATCCTTTACTGGATGCAGGGGGGGGAACCTGGTTACAAAAGATGAGGAAAAGGCAGAGGTGTTTAATGCCTTCTTTGCCTCAGTCTTTAGCAGCAAAACCAGTTGCTGTCTAGATACCCAGTGCCCTGAGCTGGTGGAAGGGGATAGGGAACAGAATGTGGCCCTCACTATCCATGAGGAAACGGTTGGCAACCTGCTATGGCACTTGGGTGAACACAAGTCAATGGGGCCGGATGGGATCCACCCGAGGGTACTGAGAGAATTGGTGGAGGAGCTGGCCAAGCCGCTTACCATCATTTATCAACAGTCCTGGCTTTCGTGGGAGGTCCCAGTCAACTGGCGGCTAGCAAATGTGTCACCCACCTGAAAGAAGGGCCGGAGGGCAGACCTGGGGAACTATAGGCCTGTCAGTTTGACCTCAGTGCCAGGGAAGCTCATGGAGCAGATTATCTTGAGAGTCATCACGCGGCACTTACAGGGCAAGCAGGCAATCAGGCCCAGTCAGCATGGGTTTATGAAAGGCAGGTCCTGCTTGATGAACCTGATCTCCTTTTATGACAAAGTGACGCGCTTGGTGGATGAGGGAAAGGCTGTGAATGTGGTCTACCTTGACTTCAGTAAGGCTTTTGACACCGTTTCCCACAGCAATCTCCTCAAGAAACTGGCTGCTTATGGCTTGGACTGGCACACGCTTTGTTGGGTTAGAAACTGGCTGGATAGCCGGGCCCAAAGAGTTGCGGTGAATGGAGTCAAATCCAGTTGGAGGCCGGTCACTAGTGGCGTTCCCCAGGGCTCGGTGCTGGGGCCAGTCCTCTTTAATATCTTCATCAGTGATCTGGATGAGGGGATCGAGTGCACCCTCAGTAAGTTTGCAGATGACACCAAGTTAGGTGCGTGTGTTGATCTGTTCGAGGGTAGGAAGGCTCTGCAGGAGGATCTGGATAGGCTGCACCGATGGGCTGAGGTCAACTGTATGAAGTTCAACAAGGCCATGTGCCAGGTCCTGCATCTGGGGTGCAATAACCCCAAGCAGAGCTACAGACTGGGAGATGAGTGGTTGGGAAGCTGCCAGGCAGAGAAGGACCTGGGAGTATTGGTTGATAGTTGGCTGAATAGGAGCCAGCAGTGTACTCAGGTGGCCAAGAAGGCCAACAGCATCCTGGCTTGTATAAGAAGCAGTGTGACCAGCAGGTCTAAGGAAGTGATTGTCCCCTTGTACTCGGCTCTGGTGAGGCCGCACCTCGAGTACTGTGTTCAGTTTTGGGCCCCTCGCTACAAGAAGGACATGGAGGTGCTCAAGCGAGTCCAGAGAAGGGCGACGAAGCTGGTGAGGGGTCTGGAGAACAAGTCCTACGAGGAGCGGCTGAGGGAGCTGGGCTTGTTTAGCCTGGAGAAGAGGAGGCTCAGGGGTGACCTTATCACTCTTTATAAGTACATTAAAGGAGGCTGTAGCAAGGTGGGGGTTGGTCTATTCTCCCACATGCCTGGCGACAGGACGAGGGGGAATGGGCTAAAATTGCACCAGGGGAGGTTTAGGTTTGGTATTAGGAAGAACTTCTTC